TCCCCCAGCAAATGTCCACAAACACTTTTAAGTATTTGTACGCATTTTGATTCGGATCCCCGGTGAAAAATCCTCGTTGCTCTAGCAATGTGAGCATAACGTTTGTGATTTGAAAGTTGCCCGCCCTAATGCGGGACGGGACTATGGCACTTGCATATCCTTCATTCGAAAAAATTCCTAAAAATGAAGCAAATCTAAATAAGTATTATGAGTTGTAAAACCTTATTCGTTTTTAGCCACCATTGCATGAAAACAACAAGAAAACACATGCATAATCTGATGACTGATCTCGTCCAGGTGACACCTCTATTCGGGGTTGTGAAATGGTAGATTGCAATAATAATACCCAACAAGGAGTCGGGATCGAATCCATAGGGAGCTGAGATAGGATTATTGGTATATATTTGGATAAAGCATGTGAAGTATCTTGGTTGCACTTCCACAAATATGATTTTGTTTTTACTTCTAGAATTACGTTAAGGATTACAATTCTAAAGATATAAAACTAGATAATATTGTTTTTGGATGGTTTACAAATATATAAAAAATCCTAGGGGTATGACCTTCACCTAGGTATTTGCCTAACGGGTTGTAAACTTTAAAGCTTGTTTTGTTGGTCGGGGTGTATTATAGCAATCAACACTCCAATACCCACTCAATACCTCTCGGTAAGAGAGTGATTTTGCCCAATTTGGCTTTATCAAGTCCAAATGGGTATTGAACAAAACAGTTGATAAAATGCTCAAGTCGAGTTTTACTATCTCTAGGTTCAACACTTTAATAGGGACTCTCAATCTCTTGATTTTATCCCAAATTCTTGTTAGCCAAGTTTTTCTAGACTAAATCTCTCTTTCTTAAGTAGAGACCAAGTCAAATAGGCATAAACTAATGTTTGCAACCATTAATTCTACAATTAAAAGCAAGAACAAGTCTAAATGATAAACACCCAACCATAAACAAGCCATAAATCAAACACTCATTAGGTTCACACACTAAGGTTGAGTCACAACCCAAGCTAAAAATCTAGCTACTCATAAGGGGTATAGAGGAAAATAGAGAAGAAAAGATGATAAAAATCATATTGCAAGATTAAAAGATAAAAATCCAATGTTAAATCACCAAAGTAAGCTAAAGTTTCCTGAAGGGGTAAAGAAAAACGGCTATAGTACTTTCAATGTTCAAAACTTGACCTAATTTCGTGAAAGTAGTCTATTTATATAAAGCTGGAAATTTTAGACAAGATTGCCCTTTCGGAGGTTCTGTGGCCGCACAATTATATGTTCGGTCCGCACTTCTCTTCAGATCTTGACAGGAGTTGACTTTGTGGCCGCACAATTCTTGATTGCGGCTGCATCTCTCATGTTCTGTCAGCCGCACAATTCTGGGTGCGGACGCACTGGGCACTTCTGCGGACTGCACATTTCCTAAGTGCGGTCGCATAGGTGTTTCTACGACCGCACAATTATTGTGCGGTCCGCATTTCTTCTTGAGCTGAAAATGAAACTCTATGAACTTTGGCTCTTACGTAGCTTCTGTGGCCGCACAATAATCGTGTGGTCTGCACTTTGCACTAGGTCTTTGTTGATTTTCCTTCACATTATGCGGCCACAGATAGAAATATGCGGTCCGCACTTGAGCTTTTGTGCCTGATTTTTATCCTTGTCCAGATCACTCCTCCTTGAGTTGGATTTTATTATAGTGGCTCATTTTTCAATACTCCTACAGGTAAGCATATTTCATCAATTTTTGGAAATACAATTAGACACTTTTGGACTAAAACGAAAGCTAAAAGGCGCTAATAAGTAGTCAAAATTCCTATTTAGCAATGACCCAAAAGGTCATCTTTAAATTTAATAATTATTTTTGTGTTCTAAAACCTCAAATAGAATCTTTTAGTATTTCTCGACTTGCGTGCACATTCCGTATTTTTTTTCCGAAAACTTTTTATGTGAAAAATTAATTAAAATATGAAATAGAGCTTTAAAACTAAATTGAGTTGACTTCGGTCAATGTTTTGAGCAAACGGACCCGGATCAGTTTTTTAATAGTTCTGATAGGTCCGTATCGTAATTTGGGACTTAGGCGTATGCCCGGAATCGAATTCGGAGGTCCCTAGCTCAAATTATCGCCATTTAACGGAAACTAGAAATCTAAAGGCTAAAAATTTATAAAGATTGACAGTGAATTTTACCTAATCGATATCAGACTCGGATTGAGATTTCGAGAGTTGGAATAGCTCCATTATGTAATTTGGGACTTACCTGCAAAATTTGAGATTATTCCGGATTGAATTGACATGTATCGGCGTGAGTTATAGAATTGAAAGTTTCATAAACTCACAAGTCTGAATCGAGGTAAAAATTATAGTTTCGACGTTGTTTGACATAATTTGAGACCTCGAGTAGGTCCGTATTATGTTATGGGACTAGTTGGTATATTTGAACGGACCCCCGAGTAACTTGGGTGAGTTTCGGGGTGAGGTTTGAACGAGTTTGGGCATTTCGGGTACTCTGACGATGTTCTGAAACAGTTGAAGTGCGGAGGGCACATTTTGGAGTGCGGATGTGCGGCTGCAAACTCCCAAAGTGTGGAGACAGTGATAATTGTACGGACCGCAGTTGAAATTTTGCGGTCCGCAGAATTCCTCTCGCGGACGTAGAAAGGAGATTATGCAGGTCCAATGGTCCGACTTTAGAAGCTTATATCTTTTAATTTACAAGGAATTTCGAGATGATTCAAAATTAAAGGTTGTATCCCTTTATGTCTAGTTTCCAAAAAGGTATACCATTAATCATTTGAACATTTGTAGAGAACGTTACGGTCAATTTACTGAAACCTGGTAGTGTAGAGCTGCTGAAGTGCGGCCACACAATTTGGATTGCGGCCGAATAACGTGGGATGTGCGGACCGCACAAAACAATGTGTAATTAGCACATTGGGAGATCAGAAGTGATACCATATAAACGTGGGTTTCATCTTATTTTTTATTTTTGGACCTAGAGAGTTCGGTTTGTGGCGATTTTGCGTGGTTTTTTCAAGAAATTCATCGAGGTAAGTGATTCTAACTCGGATTTGGTTAATGTACATGAATATATTATTGTCTTCATCATTCAATTAGTATTTTGAGATGGTAATTTGGGAAAAATTATAGAAACTTCATAAACTATAATTTTAGGATTCGAAGGGCAATCCAATGTCGGAATTCGATAATTTTTGTATGGTTGAACTCATATAGGAACGGGTGTTCGGATTTCATGATTTTTCGTCGGGTTTTGAAAAGTGGATCCCACGTTGACTTTTGGTTGACTTTTTCGAAAATGACTTAAATTAAGTCTCTTTCGAATTGTGAATAATTTCTAAAGCTCAAATTGAATTGTTGGGAAATAAATTGCTAGGTTTGATTGGTTTGGATAATAATTCGAAAGGAAACGTTGTGGTCGAGTGATCATTTGAAAATGCGGAACAAGGTAAGTGTTGTGGTTAACCTTGACTTGAGGGAATAGAACCCTTGAATTATTTAATACGTGAATTTCATGTGTAACAATGTATAGGCAAGGTGACGAGTGCTTATACGTCGTCAAATTGATTGTATGCCTATTTATCCGGAAATCATAAATTATTTTCTTTATCATGAGTGAATTATTATATTAATTATTTCTCTCATATTCCTCGCCAAATATTAAGTTTTGAATTCATATTATAATTGCTACATGTTTATTTGACTTATGTGACTTAATTGCTACTTGAAATTTAGTATATTAGATATTAAATTGCATATTTTCTCCCTGATTTTCATAATTAATTGCTACTTATCATTACTTATTTTCTAAATAATTTATAAATATTATATGCTTTGTTGCCTAATAATTTCTTATTGAATGTGGTATTTATTGGAGTATTTTTATTATATTTAAGAGTCGTTAAATTATATTATTAGAGCGGGTTGCACGCCATAACGGAGATAAAAATAAATATATTGGGGGAGCGGGTTGCACGCCGCAACGGATTATATTTTAATTTTATATTGTCGGAGCGGGTTGCACGCCGCAACAGAATTTAATTGAAGGATTATATTGGGGCAACGGGTTGCACGCCGCAACAGAATGAGAGAAGAAATAATTGGTTGTGACTGCTAAAATAATTTCAGTTATTGATATGATTTACCTATATAACTTCTATTCCTGTTATTATTATTATTATTATTATTATTATTATTATTATTATTATTATTATTATTATTATTATTATTATTATTATTATTACTATTATTATTATTATTGCGTACAGGTTAATGTAAGTGACCTGCCTTATCATCGTCACTACTTCGTCGAGGTTAGGCCCGACACTTACAGAGTACATGCGGTCGGGTGTACTCATACTACACTCTGCACTTCTTGTGCAGATTGTGGAGTTGGTCCCAGCGGCGTACTGTAGATTTCGCTTGGATTCAGCTATCAGTGGAGACTTGAGGTATAGCTGCACGGCGTTCGCAGCTTTGAAGTCCCCTTCTACTTTATTTTAGTTGTGTGCTTTCTTTCAGACAACTTTATTTTTATTTAGACTCTTGTTTGTATTATTCTAGAAGTTCATGCACTTGTGACTCCAGTTCTGGGTTGGTATTTAGACAGCGATATTATTTTGGATTATTCCCTTTAGTTCAGAAATTTTTTTCCAGTTGTTTGGTTTCTTTATTAATTAATTAAAATAGATTCTAAAAAATAGTTTAAATTATTCTAATGTTGGCTTGCCTAGCAAGTAAAATGTTAGGCGCCATCACAGTCCCGGAGGTAGGAATTTCGGGTCGTGACAAGTTGGTATCATAGAACTAGGTTACTTAGGTTTCACAGGTCACGAGCAAGCTTAGTAGAGTCTGAAGGATCGGTACGGAGACGTCTGTACTTATCTTCCAGAGGCTATGAAATTTAGGAACAATATCACTTCTTTCTTATTCTGTCATGTGATTTTATTCTATCATCGAATCACTTCTTACTCTCTCACATATGGCGAGAACACGTAATACATCTAACGATGGACAGGGACCAGATCCTCCGGTGGAAACTATGACCAGGGGTAGAGGCCGAGGTAGAGCTCGGTTTAGAGCTCGAGTAGCAACACCTGTTATAGAACCTCATGTGGATTTGGGAGCGGAGGTTTGAGCTCAGACGTTGACTGTTGGACTAGTTCAGGTCCCGGAAGGATTCATGGCTACTCCAGCACTTCAGGATGCTCTAGTCCGTTTGGTGAGCCTTATGGATGGCGTGGCCAAAAATGGTACATTTCCAGTGGCACCAGCCGTCTCACAGGCTGGGGGAGGAGCACAAACTCCCACTACTCCCGCTCCAGAGTAGATGGCTCCACAGAATCAGGCTCCAACAGTTTCGCCAGTTGGGGTAATTCAGCCAGTTGTTGCGGCACAGGCCGGTGATAGGCCCGCCATGTCTTCTGAGGCCTTATTGAAATTGGACAAGTTTACTAAGCTCTTTCCAGTTCACTTCAGTGGTACACCTTTTGAGGACATGACGGGTTACGCCAAGAGGTGGTGGAGAGATTATATATTAACTAGACTAGCTGGGTCACTTGCACTTACTTGGGACTAGTTCTCACATCTATTTCTGGAGAAGTTTATTCCTATTACATTGAAAGAGCAATACCACAGGCGGTTTGAGCATCTCCAGTAGGGTAGTATGATTGTTACCCAGTATGAGACCTAATTTGTGGACTTAGCACGTCATGCCATCGTCTTGCTTCCTACTAAAAAAGAGAGAGTGAGGAGATTCATCGATGGACTTACTTATACTATCAGGCTTCAGATGGCCAAGGAGACAAAGAGTAATATTTCCTTCCAGACAGTCGTGAACTTTGCTAGACGGATCGAGTTAGTTCGTGCTCAAGAGAGAGGGACAGTTTTAGATAAGAGGCCCCGTCATTCCGATAATTTCAGAGGCGCATCATCTAGAGGCAAGGGTCCTTATGGTAGGGGCCATCCTCCCATGCCATTTTATTCAGCACTTCAGGCATCTCACGGTGCTTCAAGGAGTCATGGTCCTACTATGACTTACTCTAGGCAGCCAGCATTTAATGCCTATTCAGTTCCTATCAGTGCACCACCACTCCAGAGTCACTACAACGGTTATCCGGCCCGTTCGGGTCAATTTCAGCTTCAGCTTCAGCAACCACGGTAGCAGGATGGGTGTTATGAGTGTAGGAACATTGGTCACATCAGGAGGTATTGCCTTAAGTTGTTGAGTAATAAATCTCATTAGGATTCTCGTGCCATCATACTGGCACCAGTTGCTCCACCACCAGCCCGACCAGCTAGGGGTATGGGTCGGACTTTTAGAGGTGGAGGTCAGACTGCTAGAGGTGGAAGTCAGACAATTAGAGGTGGAGGCCAGCCAATTATGGCCTATCCTAGAGGTATAGTTCATACTAGTGGGGGCCAACCCCGATTTTATGCTTTTCTAGCTAGGCCTGAGGCCGAGTCATCCAATGACGTGATCATAGGTATTGTCCCAGTTTGCCATAGAGATGCTTCAATTCTATTTGATCCAGGATCTACTTATTCCTATGTGTCCTCCTACTTTGCTTCATATTTGGGTGTGCCTCGTGATTCTTTGAGTGTTATGTGTGTCCATACCATTGGGAGATTCTGTTGTGGTAGATCATGTCTATCGTTCATGTGTAGTTACTATTGGGAGTCTTGAGACTAGCGTGGATCTTATACTTCTTGATATGGTGGATTTTTATGTCATATTGGGTATGGATTGGTTGTCACCTTATCATGTTATATTGGATTGTCACGCCAAAACGGTGACCTTAGCCATGCCGGGGTTACCTCGAATAGAGTGGAAAGTGACTCCTGGCCATTCCACCAGCAGGGTTATCTCTTACGTAAAATCACGGTGTATGGTCGAAAAGGAGTGTCTAGATTATTTGGTCTATATTCGCGATCCCAGCGCGGGAGTTCCTTCTATGGATTCAGTTCCAGTTGTCTGTGAGTTTCCAGATGTATTTCCTGCAGATTTGCCAGGGATACCGCCCAACAGAGATATAGACTTCTGTATCGCACCTAACCCACTTTTATTCTACCATATCGTATGGCTCCGCCGGAGCTAAAGGAATTGAAGGAGATATTACAAGACTTGCTTGACCAGGGATTTATCAGACCTAGCATATCGCCCTGGGGTGCACCAGTGTTATTTGTAAAGAATAAAGATGGCTTAATGCGAATGTGTATAGATTATCGGCAGTTGAACAAGGCTACTATCAAGAACAAGTATATGTTGCCAAGAATTGATGACTTATTCGATCAGCTTCATGATGCCAAGTATTTTCAAAGATTGATTTGAGGTCTGGTTACCATCAATTGAAGATTAGGGCATCCGATATTCCAAAAATAGTTTTTCGGACTCGGTATAGGCATTACGAATTCCTAGTGATGTCATTTGGCCTAACAAATGCCCCAACAACATTTTATGGATTTGATGAACTGGGTATTCAAACCCTATTTGGATCCTTTTGTGGTTGTATTCATTGATGATATCTTGATTTACTCTAGCAGTCGAGAGGAGCATGAGCGGCATCTTCGGACTGTGCTTCAGACTTTGAAGAATAATCAATTATATGCCAAATTTTCAAAATGCGAATTTTGGTTAGACTCAGTTGACTTTTAGGGGTATGTTGTAATGGCATAAGGCATAAAAGTGAATCCTAAGAAAATTGAGGCAGTTCAGAATTGGCCTAGACCTACTTCAGCTACAGAAATCTAGAGTTTCTTGGGTTTGGCAGGTTATTATCGCCAGTTTGTGGAGGGGTTTTCATCTATAGCACCTCTATTGACCAAATTGAACCAGAAGGGTGCCCTATTCAGATGGTCAGACGAGTGTGAGTTGAACTTTCAGAAGCTCAAGACTGCTTTAACTACGGCGCCAGTGTTAGTATTTCCCACATGTTCAGGATCTTATACGGTATATTATGATGCATCTCGCATTGGGCTTGGTGCAGTATTAATGCAAGATGGCAGGGTGATTGCATACGTGTCGCGACAATTGAAAGTTCACGAGGAGAATTATCTTGTTCATGACTTAGAATTGGTAGCCATTGTTCATGTGCTGAAGATTTGGAGGCATTACCTTTACGGTGTCTCGTGTGAGGTATTTACTGATCATCGTAGTTTACAGTATTTGTTCAAACAAAAATATCTCAATTTTAGGCATAGATGATGGTTGGAGTTATTGAAAGACTATGACATCACCATTTTGTATCACCCCGGAAAGGCCAATGTGGTGGCCGATGCATTAAGTAGAAAGGCTGTGAGGATGGGCAACCTTACATATATTCCAGTTGGTGAGAGGCCATTAGCGGCAGATGTTCAGACTTTGACCAATCAATTCGTAAGGTTAGATGTTTCAGATCCCAGCCGGGTTCTAGCTTGCACAGTCGCTCAGTCTTCTTTATATGAGCGCATCAGAGAGTGGCAATATGATGATCCTCATTTGTTTGTCCTTAAAGACACGGTTTGGCACGGTGGTGCCAAGAAGGTTGTTGTGGGGAATATGTAGTTCTGCGAATGCAAGGTCATGTTTGTGTGCCTAATGTGGATGGGCTTCGTGAATTAATTCTTGAAGAAGCCTACAGTTCCCGGTATTCTATTCATCCAGGTGCCGCCAAAATATATCAAGATTTGCGGCAACATTATTGATGGAGGATAATGAAAAAGTATATAGTTGCATATGTAACTCGTTGTCTAAATTTTCAACAAGTCAAGTATGAGCACCAGAGACCTAGTGGTTTACTTCAGAAGTTAGAAATTCCTGAGTGGAAGTGGGAGTGTATCACTATGGATTTTGTTGTTGGGCTCCCACAGACTCAGAGAAAGTTCGATGCAGTATGGGTCATTGTGGACAGGTTGACCAAGTCAGCACATTTCATTCCAGTAGCAGTTACATATTCTTCATAGCGGTTAGCGGAGATTTACATCCGCGAGATTGTCCGCCTTCACAGTGTTCCCGTGTCTATCATTTCTGATCGAGGTACAGAGTTCACCTCGCACTTCTTGAGGGCTGTACAACGTGAGTTAGGCATGCGGGTTGAGTTGAGTACATCATTTCATTCACAGACAGACAGGCAGTCAGAGCGCACTATTCAGATATTGGAAGATATGTTTCGTGCTTGTGTTATAGACTTTGGAGGTTCTTGGGATTCGTTCTTGCCACTTGCGAAGTTTGCCTATAATAACAGCTACCGGTCGAGCATTCAGATGGCTCCATATGAAGCATTATACGGGAGGCGGTGTCATTCGCCAGTTGGCTGGTTTGAACCGGGAGAGGCTCGGTTATTGGGTACCGATTTGGTACAGGATGCCTTGGATAAGGTCAAGATTATTCAGGATCGACTTCGCACAGCTCAGTCTAGGCAAAAGAGTTATGCCGACCATAAAGTTTGTGATATCGCATTCATGGTTGGAGAAAGAGTATTGCTCCGGGTTTCACCTATGAAAGGTGTAATGAGATTCGCAAGAAGGGCAAATTGAGACCTAGGTATATTGGGCCCTTTAAAATTCTTGAAATGTTGGGTGAAGTAGCCTACATGCTTGCATTACCACCTAATTTATCAGCAGTTCATCCAATGTTTAATGTGTCTATGCTCCAAAAATATCATGGTGATCTGTCCCGTGTGTTAGATTTCAGCACTGTCCAATTGGACAAGGATTTGACTTATGAAGAGGAGCCAGTAGATATTCTAGCCTGGCAGGTACGACAGTTGAGGTATAAGAGTTATCCTTCAGTTCAGGTACAATGGAGAGGTTAGTCGATTGAGGCAGCTACTTGGGAGTCCGAGTCGGACATACGGGGTAGATATCCACACCTTTTCACTAGCTCAATTTATTTTAGAGGTGAAGAAAGTGATGACCCGAAAGGTCATCTTTAAATTTAGTAGTTATTTTTGTGTTCTAAAATCTCAAATAGCACCTTTCATTATTCCTCGACTTGCGCGCACAGTCCGTAAATTTTTTCATAAAGTTTTTTATGTGAAAAATTGAATGAAATATGAAATAGAGCTTTAAAACTCAATTGAGTTGACTTCGGTCAATGTTTTGAGAAAAGAGACCCAAACCGGTATTTTTTCAGTTCCGGTAGGTTTGTATCGTGATTTGGAACTTGGGCGTATGCCCGGAATCGAATTCGGAGGTCCCTAGCTCAAATTATCGTCATTTAACGAAAACTAGAAATCTAAAGGATAAAGATTTTTAAAGTTAGACCGTGAATTTGACTTTATCGATATTGAACTCGGATTGAGATTCCGAGAGTTGGAATAGCTCTGTTATGTCATTTTGGACTAACATACAAAATTTGAGATTATTCCGGATTGAATTGACATATTTCGGCATGAGTTATAGAATTGAAAATTTTATAAACTCATAAGTCTGAATCGAGGTGCGAATTATAGTTTTGATATTGTTTGACGTGATTTGAGACTTCGAGTAGGTTCTCGTTATGTTACAGAATTGGTTGGTATATTTGAACAGGGTCCTGAGTGGCTTGGGTGAGTTTCGGGGTGAGTTTTGAATGAGTTTGGGTATTTCGGGCACTCTGATGATATTTTGGAACAGTTGAAGTGCGAGGGCACATTTTGGAGTGCCGATGTGCGGCCTTAAACTCCCAAAGTGCGGAGGGAGTGGTAATTGTGCAGACCGCAGTTGAAATTGTGTGGTCCGCAGAATTCCTCTCGCGGCCGCAGAAAGGAGATTCTGCAGGTTCGATAGTCCGACTTCGGAAGCTTATATCTTTTAATTTACAAAGAATATGTAGATGATTCAAAAACAAAAGTTGTATCTCTTTGAGTCTAGTTTCTAGAAAGATATACGTTTAATAATTTGGATATTTGTAAAGAAAGTTATGGTCTATTAACTGAAGCCTGGTAGTGTAGAGCTGATGAAGTGTGGCCGTACAATTTGGATTGCGGCCGCAGAACGTGGGATGTGTGGACTGCACAAAAAAATATGCGGTCAGCACATTGGGAGATCATATGTGGTACCATATAAATGAGGGTTTCATCTCATTTTTCAATTTTGGACCTAGAGAGCTCGATTTGTGGCTATTTTTTGTGGGTTTTTCAAGAAATTCATCAGTGTAAGTGATTCTAACTCGGATTTGGTTAATATACATGAATATATTATTATTTTCATCATTCAATTAGCATTTTGAGATTGAAATTTGGGTAAAATTATACAAACTTCATAAACTATAATTTTAGGATTCGAAGGGCAATCCGATATCGAAATTCGATAATTTTTGTATGGTTGAACTCGTATTGGAACGGGTGTTCGGATATCATGATTTTTCGTCGGGTTCCAAAAAGTAGGTCCCACATTGACTTTTCCAAAAATGACTTAAATTAAGTCTCTTTCGAATTGTGAATAATTTATAAAGCTCAAATTGAATTGTTGGTAAATAATTTGCTAGGTTTGATTGGTTTGGAAAATAATTCGAAAGAAAACGTTGTGGTCGAGTGATCATTTGAAATTGCGGAACAAGGTAAGTATCGTGGTTAACGTTTACATGAGAGAATAGAACCCTTAAATTATTTGTTAAGTTAATTTTATTTGTAACGATATATATACAAGGTGACGAGTGCCTATACGTCGTCAAATTGATTGTTTGCATATTTATCTGAAAATCAAAAATTATTTTCTTTATCATGAGTTAATTATTATATTAATTGTTTCTCTCATATTCCTCGTCAAATATTAAGTCTTGAATTCATGCAATAATTATTACATTGCTTATTTGACTTATGTGACTTAATTGCTACTTGACATTTAGTATATTAGATATTAAATTACCTATTTTCTCCCTGATTTCCACAATTAATTGCTACTTGTCATTACTTATTTTCTAAATAATTTATAAATATTGTATACTTTGTTTTCTAATAATTTCTTATTGAATATGGTATTTATTGGAATATTTTTATTACATTTAAGAGTTGTTAAATTATATTGTTGGAGCGGGGTTGCACGCCGCAACGGAGATGAAAATAAATATATTGGGAGATTGGGTTGCACGCTGCAACGGAATATATTTTAATTTTAT